TTTAGCAAAAATATAAGCGTTTGAATATGGTCTTACTTTACAAGGGAATGTATGGGAAAGCCCTGATGGTGTACTATCCAGTACACAACCACGCGGACAGTAACTCCGAGTGTCGAAATAAGCTCAAAAGTAATGATTTTGCTTCAGTTTTCTAACAATATCATTCTAAAAATTTAATTTAATGCTGAGACTATAGTTGTTTTAAGATTTATAGGCTTTCCGAGGTTAATTTGGCGTGTTTCAAGTAGCTTGACAGTATTGCGTGACATATTTTTGAACGTTAATAACTCAACGAATAAACAGCAAAAATAGTTGAAACTTTCAGAGAGAACTTCTATTATGCTCTTCAAGGTATTTTAGTACTTTAATGTTGTGTGTCTGTGATTTTAGAATTTTTTTCGACTGATGACTTCATGTGCAAACCGATGAGAATAGTCGGCGAGACTGTAATACGCGAGGTGGAAGAAGACAGAAATTCAACGTCTACAAATACGCTCAAATCACTTAAAAATATCCACACTTTCGTGGCATAGCCACACTAAAATATGACCAGCGTTTTTCCGAAAAAGGAATTTCAGAAGATAACGTAAATTTATCGAGAATTTATCTTACTGTCTATCGAGATCGAGTCTATCGAGAATTGTCTATCAAACAAGCTACCTATCTTAGCACAAGCGAACTGTATACGAACTTATGCAGGCTCTGAAACTACTAAGGTCTCGTCTAAGGAATGCGAACAGATTCTTCTGAGGAAAAGCCGACGAATGGAAGAGCGGAGAAGATAAAACACTCTGTGTTTACAGCCTGTCATGTGACTATCAAAGACCGGCTTGCTGATGATCAATTTTTTCATGATATTTATGCTGAGTACACTGTTTTTTTATTATTTTTTTATTCCAGGAAGTATTTTTTGCTTTACGCCTTTTGATAGTATGACTATTAACTTTATTAAGGTTCAATATAGTCCAATTCTTCTCAATTCYTCGACTACAACACTCATTGTTGTCACTTCATCGTTTTATGATATATTCAAGCAGAACCCCGAGTTCACGCAGCTATGCGTCTAGTTTTTGTAAAAAATCGTCGGGACAACTTTAATTTCAATTAATACAACAACGGAAATGCAATTAAGACCGAAATAATACTCGACTGCCTGACGTAAAAAAACAACATCTAACAACCGTAATTTCAATAATACAACAACAAGGGGAAATGCAATAAAAACCGAAATAATACAGTTCGACAAGTTTGTATAGACACAAGCACGGCACTTTGAGATTTTTCGGTTTTTTTGGTCGTTTTTTTTTATCTTGGCAAGGCTCGAAAAATCAGAACTATTCATATTTTTTTTGATATATTTAGTATTTTGGCCTCGCAAGACTTTGATATTAATTTCATCTTGATTTCCTCAGTAACTCAAGCCTTAACATACCTGAGGAAATCAAGATGAAATTATTCATATTTTCTATATAGATAAGGTATGATTACGGTAACAATCGCTGTGTAATTGGTTTTTGAAAATATTTCGTTTTTCGCAAGAAAATCGCTAAACAATGTCCCATACTGGGCCTTGCGTGAGAAATGTTTGATGGCTAAGTAACACGCAAAATAGCCAAACTTTCTACCGAGCTTGTGTGAAATGTGAAGTAGTAATTTAAAAAAATTAAATTGTGGCTTTCTTTCTTATCTGTTTCGTTGATTTTCAGAGCATTTAATTAAAAAGAAAATTCTGGAACTCGAAGCTTCTTATGTAGTTATATATGCAAATTAGTACCATAAAAAAAGCACAATTTTTGTGGTTACTCCGTATTAAGTATCCACTTTGTTATCGCCCGTGTAAACAAGAGTGTCTGTAACACTCGAACACCCGAAAACCCGACACTTTTTCCGAGATCTTTTCGACCTGCCGACCTCTTCACGATAACACAGCGAAAACGCCTCGTGCTACCTACGCACTTTGAAGGTGTTTGGAGTACAAAGTGGTGAGTAATCTCATTGTTTTTATCTCGTTTATTGCTCTTTATTTATCACAGCTTTCATTCTCTAATATCGTTAGGAATGAAGGGTATTCTCTTGAGTGTTTTTCAGATTTTAAATCACACACCAAAAGATGAGTGGTTAAAAGTAACGGAGAAGTTTTAAGAGCCTAGCAAATTTATGTTAATGAGTTCCAAACACATGTGTCTGGATATCCAAACACATGGATTTTGATATCTAAACACACGGGTTTGGAACTAATTAGCATTCGATTTTGGATCATGGTATCCAGCGGTATGCACGTGACTCTAAAATAAACATCCGATTGGACTATGAAGTCATGAATYATTAATGAGTTTGAGAACCACTTTTCCAAAACTACCCTTGTTTATTAGACTCTATACTATAAATTCATCCATATCACCCTCGACAGTGCTTCATGATTCTAATGGGAATTATTGACAACAAGAAAACGCATGAAATTCGTAAAGAAGACAATATTATTGATTTGAAATCTCACACTTATGCTTACAATTAGGAATATTTTGCACACAAATGAGGCTAACAAAGCTTTAAAGAATTCGGAACTGAAGTATTTAAAAATATTCAAACATTTGGAGTAACCACATGCGGTCTTCGAGCGCCTTTAATTTTATGTGCAAGTATTTTGTTTGTAATGAAATTCGGAGTGATTACTAAGTAAGGCATGAGCGTTACAAAGAAATAAAAATTAGTCTGTGCAAATCACTCTCAGGTGAGTAGTAAAGGCTGCACCACCAACACCTGGTGAGGATCGAGGAGAATCGAGGACCGCTTGATTCGAGTAAAAAGGTSACATCATAGAAGCTAAGACCGAAAGGGATTTTGAGTACCACTAAATTGGGATTACATTTGTGTTTAACATGGTGTACGGTAAATCAAGTAGAACTAGTAAGATTAACAGCATGCTAGTCTTTTATGCTGGAGAGCTGTTTGTATGAAATTAGCCAAATTGTTTGTCTTCCCAAGTACCTTTTCGGTCTTAGCTTCTATGATTAGACCTTTTTGGACCCGACAACGTTTCTTTAATTAGGTGTAGTAAAAGAATGAATATTAGTAAAAGATAATTATTCATTGCTAATATATTCACTTTTGTGCGCCTTCCACTTAATCTCCGAACAATAGTCCTTAATTTGTTCTCAAATGTTTTGCTTAAAAGCGGATATTTATTGCCTGAATCTGTCCTGTTAGTAATTCTGCGATCTGATTGACTTTTAAGTTACATATAACTTGTTGCTGTAATATATCAAGATGGAAAATATTGAGATTGATGARTCTGAGATAGCAGAACGTGCTTTTCTGCTGGAACTGATATCAACGGTCTTGCAACTCTCATATACTATAAGTGTCAAATTCGACGAAAAGAGATCAGATTTCAAGACTTTTTGAAGAAATGAAATGATATTAAAGACAATCCCAAAAAACTACCATCGAATCTAAGAAATAAAAAATATATGTGACCTTTCTGTGTATTCTTCGTGAGAAAATTTGAAAATCCAAGTATGTATTTTCGCCTTTGAAGAGTTTGAGTTGAGCATCAAAATAGCCAGGCTATCACACTGATAGCCCTACTTTTTAGAAATATATAAAATATATAAAATATATAAAATAAACATCTCTACCTATGTATTGTGTTTGTCTTTACATTTCTGTGAAGTTTCAGGCCATTTCCTTCAAATTTGAGTGATTTATGCCTGTGTTTTTGATTCGGAAAGCAAAATCCGAGATATTTTTTTAAAGTTTTTTTGCTTTTCTAATGACCGATAAACCTATATATTCTTTTAAAAATGCCGTATTTGTGCTCTTTTTTGGCCTCTTCATTTATAACATATCAAAAGATCAAATCTAAGACCTCTAAGCAAATGTCACCCGATGTAGGGCAATAAGTTTGATATGGTTTGAGGAGCAAGCATCAAATGATGGTTCTATATAGGTCAACAATGATCCATTCATGTTTTCAGAAAATATCTTATATGTAATAAGTAAACCTTTTAGTTTATGGAATCGTTTGAATAAAAGTGTTTTACAGCAACGGTTTACGTCAGAAATGGTTTATAATCCAATTCCGATTTCTTTTCCGGGATAATTCCGAAAGATTTCCGGACTCTTTCAGGACTTTCCGGGCGGTTTCGGGTCATTTCCGGCCATCCGGAGACTCCGGTCCTTTCCAGTCCTTTCCGGGGCCTTTCCGAACCATTCAGAAGTTTTCAAAGTATTTTTAAATACTATATTAAAATGTGCCTTTTAAAACAGTATGAAACAAGCGATATAAAGATACCAGGAGTTAGAAATATGAAAAAGGTTAAAAAAACATTACTTTGGTTATTCAAAACTACTTTATCAGGTGACCTATTGTCTCAGAACAAAGGCAATCATTAACCTTTTCTCTTGATACTGTTCAGATAATAATTYATACGATCGTTGAACCTTAACATAAAGCTATGCGCTTGTTATATATCACGCCATTTTCTATCTGCATCATATCATAGTTATTGATCTTTTTTTAATCATTAATAAACTTGATTCTTTGAATTAGATTTCAATTTCAGCTTCAATTCGTCAAAATGTAGTTCAAAACGGATTCTAGAAGAGATTAATAACTCCAAAAAGTTTAGAGACTGAATGACTATTMACAGTACGATTTATTGGATTAAAAAAACCGTTGAATAATTTACAATGACAATAGAGCGGATTTCGTATGAGTAATCGAACTGTAACCAAATTCTAGTGATCCATTGTTTCATCAAAATTCTGCAGGCCAGGTGCGGTATTAAACTGTGCGGTAACCGTGCGCTAACGGTGTCCCACTCATACGAAATCCGCTCTATAACTAACTGTCCATGCGCTCAGTACGTTTGCAACGAATCTCTTCYGGACAAGAAATCTCTGAAGATTTTGATTAATATAGTTTTCTTGTGATAAATTCTCAATGGACCTTTGATCAAAAATTCAAGGATTTGATCTCGAGGTGATCTTGTTCGATCAGAGCAAAGTTCAAACTGAAGAATGTTCAGATAAACGGTTGTCCAAGGAAGCTTGTGAAATTCAGGAGTATAAAATTTCCACGTAGGGCGAATTTTCAAATCGAGGTGTTACGGTAAATATTTTTGTTCGGGTTTCTGGCGACCTTCTGGATGGACTAGCTTGGGTAGTAGCGACTCGAATGGCGTGGGCCCGTAATCTGAATTTTATCCTACGAGATGGCACAGGACTTGGAGACAGAGCACGGAGTAAACTTCTCTTTAATCTTGCTTTAGTCTTGAATGACGGTACTCTAGCGCACGGCTAGTTGGTCTCTTGACTAGCATGAGTCAAGCTCAAAGCTAGGAGAGCGGTCTCTCATCTCTGWTATTACAATGATTCTCAGAACTATTTATGCTAGATCCGTTATACAATATTAATTACCTAAAGTTATTTGTTAGCCAAAACAATCATAAACTAACGGCGCGTAAAGCTTAACATCCAATCACATTGATAATAGCCAAAATGAGCTAACATATAGCTTAACATCCAATCACATTATTGATAATAGCGAAAATGAGCTAACATACGCCAAACGTTACTGGCTGTAATCATAACGCTAAGTAAAGTGTCCAACTGGTGGTACCAGTAACTTTGAGCACTTTGCACTTTCTGTGAGTATCTTGTTTCCAGATAGTGACGCTACTGAATTATAGATAACTTGCAACAGGTACTTACAGAAAAACTCTAAGCTAACTCGCTATGTTTATGTTATGACATGATGTTATAGCTTATTATGATATTTTAGCCAATTTCCAAATATTCCCAATTTTATACATCAAATTACCAATTTGTTTTCCTATTAAATTTGTTCAATTTCTCCCCGTTACAGAAGTTCTCGAGGTACTCGTGCTCACATACTTCATTGGCTAATTCCCAAACTCGATTGGAATCCACTAACTGCGCGGCATCGTCGTAATGCTGGTTGAATGCTTCTTCATTTTTGGTCATCATACAAATATGATCTTTTTTGACTGGAAGGTTAAGTTCGCAGCCTTCACACGAAGAATTTATCAGTTCCCAAATTTGATACTCGCATAAAAAAGCATAAGAGARTTGTAAGACCGTTGATATCAGCTCCAGCAGGAAARAACGTTCAGCCTTTTCAATTTCTTCAATCATAATTCTCCAACTTGMAGCATACTCGCATGTAGACATCTTCAACAGGAAATTTATTACTTGCAAGTCAATMAGATCGCAGAATGACCAACAGGACAGATTCAGGCAATAAATATCCGCTTAAGCAAAACAATCGAGAACAAAAGGACTATTTTAATCTTAAAAGGCGCACAACAGTGAATATATTAGCAATGATATTCAACTGAATAGGTGCCATCACTGAATGTATTAATAAAATTATTTTACTCGAATYAAGCGGTCCTCGATTCTCCTCGATCCTCATCAGGTGTTGGCGGAGCAGCCTTTACTACTCAGGTGCGTAGGAATGACTTATTCTAGTCACAATTATCAGCGTAAACACATATTTTTTTCAGTTGTATAAACCGAACAATTTCAAAGCTTATAAACATCTAGTCAATATTAAATGTATTTTATTAAAATACAAAGGGCTAAGCTTATTTTTTTGAACATTTTAAACAATGTATAAATGAATTTGGATTGATTATAAATTATATTAGTTATTATCGCCAGAAGTATTCATTTCTRTGCAACTAAATGATTTGCCCGAGACCAAATTGTTTGTATTTGAAAAACTCATCTCTTGCTTAATAATCACTCGAATTTTAATAATCGAATAATCGAATTTTTTTGCAAACAAAGTACTTGGACATTAGAAAAATAATCGCTTTGTAAAGATACCAATTTGCATATGAAAATACATCATATGCAAATATTTCGAGTTCCAGAAAATTTCCTTTTTAATTAAATGGTCTGAAAATCAATGAAATAAATAAAAAAGAGTTAGTAAGAAAGCAGCAATTTTAAATTTTTAAAATAGCTATTTTATTTTTTACATGAATTCGGTATGAAGTTTGGTTATTTTGAGAGCTATTTTTAGCAATCAAGCATTTGTCACGCAAAGGGCTAGTATGAAACTTCGAGTTCCAGAATTTTTTTTAAATTAAATGCTCTGAAAATCAACGAAATAAATAAGAAAGAGTTACTTAGAAAGCCACAATTTAAATTTTTGAAATTATTATTTTACATTTCACACAAGCTCGGTAGAAAGTTTGGCTATTTTGCGTGCTACTTTTAGCCAACAAACATTTCTCACGCAAGGCCCAGCATGTGACATTGTTTAGCGATTTTCTTGCGAAAAACGAAATATTTTCAAAAAACAATTACACAGCGATTGTTACCGTAATCATACCATATCTATATTCTTCCTTTGCATGTACGTCATGGAAAAAGGGTTCTCTTCACTCTGGAAGGAGTCAAAATCTAACCCTCCCAAAACACACTAAAACAGCATCAAAATCGAAAATAACCCCTCCAAAAATGTTCATAAACTATTGAACCATCTTTATTGAAGTTTTTTGATATTTCAAGAATGAAAAGATACGGTTTAAAAACGATATATTTTGACTACATGTGAAAAGCCGTTAAGTTTGTCGCCACAGGTAGCCCATCTCCCGGAACTTCTCAGAGACTGGGAAGCTTGTGGTAATCCATGTGAAAGAGCGAGTAAAGCTCTGTATCCTTGAGAATTTTTTCGCTGAAAGGAGTTTTATTTGCCAAGATATAAGCAATTTTATACGCTAATTTTTTTTTATTTTTTMCAAAATATGAATAGATTTGTTTTTTCGCCAGCCTTGCCAAAAATTTTCAATTTTGTCGCGATCGAAGCGGCTCTTTTAAGATATWAAAATATAATATATTAAAATAAAATATATTAAAATACAACAAGGAAAATGCAATAATTTAACGATCCAAGTAAGGTACTTGTCAGAAATTAGCAGGGAGGAGTTATTACTATTAACTGCCTATCAAATATCCTAATCCTTATCCCTTTCAAAATTAACAAACAATGGTTCAATTATAGGTCCTGCATAATGATTCACTGRCTGCTTGGTGGCGATGATAAATTGTTGTGGTAATGGTTGAAGGGGAACGGTCTGATACATGGAGAGCTTCACTTCCACAACTCTGGTATGTCATCTTATTCCCAGTACCCACTTTTCAGTTTCCACCTCCCCTCCCCCTGCTATTTTCTGACAGATTTCGCTCTTTATTCCATTTCTTTTGTGCTATTAATTGAAATTACAGTTGATCCGACGATTTTTCGCAAAAAAATCGACTGCCTGACTTTTAGTCATTGTGACCGTCTTCTTCAGGTATAATGAACTGTTTGCATCTTGGAAATAAGTGGTCTCCAAAAATCAATGTCTGCATGAATAAGGTCTTTTTGTTGTTCTGTACGGTGGCTGACATGCATAGAAATGAATACTTCTGGCGATAATAACAACTGAAACACCAAATGTTTTAAACAACCGAAATTCATTTACATTTCCTAAAATKTTCAAAGAAAGTAAGCTTAACCCTTTGTATTTTGATAACATACATTTAGAGTGAAGTCAATGAACCCGTGAAATACATATTTCACTATTAGATGTTATTACTTGATAATTCCATTGTTTTCTTTTGTGTCTATTTGACTATTACAGTTTAAGTATTTACTTTTATTTCACGGGTTCAATGCCTTCACTCTAATGTTGATTAGATGTTTATAAGCTTTAAAAATTGTTCAGTTATTAATTACAACTGACAAAATACGTGTTAACTCTGATAATTGTGACTAGAATACTGTCATTCCTACACACCTGAGAGTGATTTGACCAGACTTTTAGCTCTGGGACTAAACGTCGGTCAGTCAGAAAATCTCAAAGTACGCCGTGCTTGTAACTATACAAACTTGTCGAAGAAGTGTATTATTTCGGTCTTTATTGCATTCCCTTGTTGTATCAATTGAAATTACGGTTGTTCCGACGAAAAAAAAAATAACAACAAAAAAACAAAAAACAAAAAAAACGAACTAAACGTCAGGCAGTCGAGAAATCTCAAAGTGCCGTGTTTGTGACTATATAAACTTGTCCAACAGTATCGTTTCGGTCTCTATTGCATTCACGACTAGGTGGTAGAGACACACCTCTGGGAGAAATCAGAAGTGAGAAGCGATTTTTCGAGGAGAACAGTTGCAGGACGAGGTTTGTTTTGAACTGGAGTCGTTGGAGTAAAGTCGCTTCTCTGGTCCTTTTGTGGCAGATTTCACAGCCTACAAAGGTAAATTTGGGTGGTTTTAACAACCAAAGAAAGAAAGGGTTGCAATATTTTGCCTGTAGGTGCGAGTGACTCGGCAACAAAACGAGAATCCTGCATACCTCATGCCGAAATTTTTATGCCTTCCCATGTTGCTCCTCGGGCGTGCATGCGAGCTTCATGGACTGCGTCCTCAGAACAGAGCTTTAACTCAATCTGTATAGACTTTGATGTAGTATAAGCGCCGAGACATGAATCAGTGTTCTAGCGTAGAGTCTCCAAAGTAGTTCGACTTTTTGCTGGGAAAATGCATTTTTAGACTCGAAATCGAATGTTTCTCACCGCTATCCAAATTAGTTCAAAATCTAAATTCTGGCAATTCCTTGAAAACCAGGGCCTTTTTTCCAGATTTTCTCGTTGATGTGTATTTTTTTGTGCTCTAGGTTTCATTGTATTTACCAAGTGTATTGTTGCCGCGTGATTTTGAGAAGTTATGATTTTTGAAAGCATGGGTCGTACAGGTCCTAAGTTTGCATAGTCGGACAGGAAGGAGTTAATGACAACGACACCGGGCAGGCTCTTTCCTTCCATTGACTTATACTTTGAATTACGGTAAACAGAAAATTAATTCAAGGGTCATGATTCAAAGAGACTGAACCTTTTCGTGATTTTCAGCACTTGATATCTATTGAAAATTAAACACACTCACTATCTAATAGAATGGATAATTAGTGACAGGCAGTATAATCGATTTACGGTAGGTTAGTTTGTACAACAAGACAAGTTGGGCTTCTAAAATCTATCCTCTGCAAAACCGAAATAAATTGAGAATAAACACTACACACATATAAATTAAACATTCGAATCCCTTCATCAAGCATTTTTGATACTCCAAGGTTGGATATACGTAATCTGTAAGTGCTATTTTGACTCGATGTGAAAACCACAGGCTGGCTACAGTTACTCCAAATCATCATCTGCATACAGTTAGGCTCGCATCATTCCTCGCTGCCTCGCATTCCTCGCTGCCTCGCATGCCTCGCTGCCTCGCATGCCTCGCTGCCTCGCAGATTGGCAGGACACCAATAAAATTTATACTTGATTGAATCTAAGCTTGTACAAAAGATGTGGTAATTGCATAAATCTCATATATTATTATCATGATCACATCATTCAAAGTCTGCCCGTGTAAACAGCGTTTTCGGTAAGTAATTGCATAAATCTCATATATTAGTATTATCACATCATTCAAAGTCTGCACGTGTAAACAGCGTTTTCGGTAAGTAATGGCGTAGTGTGAATACGTACTATTAAACAGAATAGTTCTCAATAGCGCTAAAATAGAGTCATTTTCATCTGTCTGTGAAGCAATTACTACTAGTTAGATTGATTTTCATCGGACTGTGATAGTCTCTACGCTAAATAGACGCTAGCAGACTCTACACCCATTGTACCCTGCGAGCAGAGTGTAGGTAAGGAAATACACTCTGCTCGCAGGGTACATCCATTGCTTTCTTTTATTGTAACACAACTATTAGTCACTATTAAACACTGACTAGTATAGTAATTGTTTCACAGACGGATGAAAATGACTCTAGTGTTGAATAGTAATTGTTAGGGTTTATTAGGCTACCAAAAGGCAAAATCAAAACCGGGGTTTTGCCTAATTTGTTTGACGCTATTTGGAGCTAATAGAGGGTAACACTGGTACAATTCCTATTTCACAGACGGATGAAAATGGCTAATTTTGATCTGCAGACAATAGAGTACAAACACTAAAGCTGTGCAACATAAATACCACTAAATACTGTTCAATTATGCTAATTCTATTTTTTTCTATTGTTAATTAACACTATTTTGTAGTAAATAGTGGAAAGTGTTGCACACATTTAATGTTTGTACTCTAGCAAAGGCGGGATTAGAACATAATTCTAATGAACATAGCACAATTTTTTAATTAGTCTTCACGTCTGCTGTACAAAAGTCGCTCAATCTCGCCAAAAACACCAAAATCGACAAAATATCCGAAAYTCAAGTGTTATTAATTGTAGATCTGAAACTCTTATTACTGAGTTTGGTGTCACTATTATTTTGTTCTCTTATTGGGCTGTTGAGCTCACTTGTATTTGTGTTTTTACAACGTTTCGACGACGCCATYGTGACCGTCTTCTTCAGGTATAATGAACTGTTTRCATCTTGGAAATAAGTGGTCTCCAAAAATYAATGTCTGCATGAATAAGGTCTTTTTGTTGTTCTGTACGGTGGCTGACATGCATAGAAATGAATACTTCTGGCGATAATAACAACTGAAACACCAAATGTTTTAAACAACCGAAATTCATTTACATTTCCTAAAATTTTCAAAGAAAGTAAGCTTAAACCTTTGTATTTTGATAACATACATTTAATGTTGATTAGATGTTTATAAGCTTTAAAAATTGTTCAGTTGTTAATTACAACTGACAAAATACGTGTTAACGCTGATAATTGTGACTAGA